TGACGATCCCTTCTAAAATGCAAGAATTTGTGCATGTAAGAAAGAGTTTATCAATATACAAGATTAGAAGAACAATATCATCATTTTGATATATTATGTATAAATTTTGACCAAATTTGACTAGACATGACTACGATCCAAGACTTTTTCATGTAATGTTTCATCAATCTGATGATGTCAGAAGAGACTTTGTTTAAGCTTTTGGATGTCAAGGTGATATATGTGCCAATTGTGATGAGTGGCAATGGCAAAGATGATGTGTATGATCTCCCAATTCATCATTGATGCAAATGTTTCCCCGTAATCAATGTCTTGTTGATGTGAAAACTGAGTACAACTAATTGGTACTTGTATAGAGCTGATTGGCTAAAGAATCAAGCTTAACTTTAAAATTCATTGTGCTGTAATTGCTTGGAGGTAGATGTAGGAGCTTCCACATGTTGTTTTGCAATATGGATGCATATTGAGCTTCCATCACCGCAGTCTAGTTAGTATCATGACATATGATATGAAACTGCAAGTTGTCTCCATCATTTAGTACAAGTCCAGTAGTGAAATTTACAAAAACTGTCCCAATGTAAGGATCCAAGCAAGGAGTAGCTAATTGTTGTTGGCTTGATTGACGTGAAAATATTCAAAGATATTAATTCATCTCGAGATATGAACAACGATGAAGGTCAATTTGCTTGATCACGATCATGATGTGTCAAAAAATTAGGGGAGGAAAAAGGTGAATAAATGGACTCACAAGAGTTACAACGTTGGTATGTGAAAAGTGGCATCGATTCATGAACATTTTACAAGTTGGATCAAATTTGGAGGGATTTTGATTTGTTGGTAATCAAGTTCTTTGGACTCGGACAAATAAAGTTAGAAATGTGGTGACTAGAACTAGCCAGAATATGAAGAGTTGTTGGATCTTTTGGTAGGCAATTTGATTGGCTGTTGAGTGCCGGAAGTTGGAAGTTGGAAGATTGTAGATTTGATTGATCAACATTCTGTGCTCCATGTATAAGGCTTGGAAATATGAACGTCGATGCTCGTATCAATGTAGATGTTATTGAGTCAGAGTCTAATGCAACAGATGTATCATCATCAATGACTCCCGTAGACAATATATCTAATTCAAATGTTTCAATAGTCCGACCATCTTGTTATACTAGCATCTTCCCAGTACTAGGGTGATAACATCGAAAGGCTTTGGCGCAGTATCATAACCCAAAAAGTATGCATTCAGTAGAGTGTGAATCTAGAGAGAGTTGATGTACAAACATTGTTCTACTAAAGACGCGTAAATGAGATACATAAGGTTTTTTTAATCTATGGGATCTTTGGTATGCGTGGCATCAGGAGTCTTCTTTGAACTTTGCACATTGAATATCTCACATAGTGGTCAAACTGTCTTGTACTAGAGATGATTGGGCAAGTTCTTGTCAATCAACAAGCATCTTGTGATGTCAAGGAAACATCAATTGTGTCTTTCAGCAATACCGTTTTGCTAAGGAATATAGGGTATAAATAATTATTGTTTTATGCTATGGGCTGAACAATAATCAATGAAGAATCAAGAAGTATATTCTTTACCCTTGTACCTATGTAGAGCTAGAATGTTGAGCTGTAGTTGTTTTAAAACTTCTCCATGTAACAATTTGAACTTATCAAGACATTTTTCTTTTTGAGCTAAAAAATAAACCCAAAGAAAATGACTATAATCGTCAACAAAAATAATCAAATAGCTTAATACTCGTGAAGAAAGACTACAAAATGTACCACAAATATCCGAGTGTATTAATTCAAATGGTATAGTTGCACAAGTGATGTCACACATATGAAAATGGATGCAAGTCTACTTTTTGATATAGCAATCCATGCATGAATTTTTGGGGTGTTTAAGACTGATAGTTCTAAATCAGCTCTCGAGTTCATCATGCGTTGTAATTCATCGTTGTTGAAATGACCGAGTCGGCAATGCCAAATCTCTAAAGCATTTAGCTTGTTGATGGTGATGGTGTTTACTTTCTTATGCATGATGATGTAGTTTTATAGTTTGTACAAACCTTGATGATACTCCCAAAGAGCATATGCAACAAACTCAAGGGTGAATCTATTTCTGATGAAGTATTCTTCTCACAAGAATTCAACGTTGTAGTTCTTGTCAAAAATCAATCCTAAAGAAAGAATGATGAAAGAATTAATTACCTGTGAAATGATTTGTACGTAACCATTTTGCACATGGACACTTACACTGCCAATACTAAGGATGTCATGTTCATGACCACCGACGTAAGTAACAACGGAGCACTTTTGATGTTGGATGGTTATAAACATTGATCGATCTTCGATGATGTGGTGTGTGACATATGAGTCAAGCTGCAAATTAGAACCTTCCATCATCATGGCAAGAACGGAGATATTTAATGTTGATTGTGATGTCAATGTGGAGAGCGTATTTAGAAGCTCAATAATGTAGGCTTCTATATCATTTAGATTTTCAAAATTGACAAATCTTCTTTTGTAGCATTTGGTTCTTCATTGTTATTTTCTTGGGAATAAACTCTATCACATGAACGTTGTTGTCTTTGCTTGTTATGAACACGATGCTTCAAGTTGGGCATCTGATCAATGAGTATCTTGATTCTGCATTCTCAATCCAGATGTTCTTTACACATGCAAAAGTCTTCGCTCAAGTACGTGAAGTTTCCCTAGATAGGAACCACGGCTCATACGTTGATGAACCACTGGCAGATGTACGTTTTTCATTAGCCTGCGGCAACCAAACTCATAATCTCTTGAGAGATTTTTGAATGCATAATACATTATGAACTCATCTGGAAATACAATATTGAACCCTTCTAATAGATTCATTATGTTTTTAAACTTAGTTACACGAACATTCTTTGTAGTAGCGTCGGTTTTTCTCAAAGCAAAGGATTTATCTACAAGATAAGCTTTACAAGCATCACTCTGTGATTCATACCAACGTTTTAAGTAGTATCATCATGCATAACGCTCATTGTATTGTTTAAGTATCTTCATTTCAGAATTCTTAGCATTAACTATGAGAATGTCCATAAACTTGTAATGAGCTATTCTATTTTATTCACTAATAGGAATCAAGTATGATATAACATAATAGTCTAACAAGCCACAACTAGATAATGCTCGTTAGATTCAAAAGAACCATACATCGTAATTAGGTTTTATTTCAATTTGATATGTTTCTTGGATGCTCGGATCTTGATTTGACAAAATTGTTGCGGTTTCATTCTGGTGCTGAATCTAAGAGAATTGCTAATAGGCATAGATAATGGTACAAGATTATCACCTATTGTGTCAAACGCTTCTTCACCAAGGACGAAACTGATGTCTATCCCAGACATGGCGAGGGACAAAAGTAAATACTAAACAAAGATTTATCAAACCAGTCAACAATCATTATTACACTATAAAACCTACGTGCTCAAATATCTAATAATAAATAGTGTGAATCAGAAGAGAGAAAGACAATTCAAGATGAAACGTTTTTTTATACCATGATGATCTGTAGAACTGTAATCTACATACTTATTTTAATTCAGATTTGCCTTAGATGGCTTTTTGGTAACTTATCATGATTCAAGTAAAGATTTTCCAATATGTACGCGTATCAAACATACTCTCACATATACATTCTACTCATTACTCAATTGCCAACATTCATCTGGAATCAAACGTATAGTGAAACTCAAACTTATATTGATTAAACAAGTCATCACACAATGACCTTTGTAAACTTGATTCAGAGTATGTTTCTTATCTGTATTTATTACTTGAAAAGTTACCAGCGTAACAAATGGTAATTTTTATCTCATTTACTCTTCCAAAAATAAACCATGATAGTTATTTGACTAGTTTTTTATACGTGATAACATGTCATTCGACTTTTAAACTTTCTAGAAGTTTTTTTGTCTCTAGATTGAGATGGCCACATGCTATTTGAGATTTTCACTCTTATGAAATTTACACTTGTCACTAAATTAAACTTAGACATAATCTAACCAATGAAATTTTCATCACTTGATTAAATCAATCAAAATTAATCATGTGATCAACAAAATTTTCCTTTACAATCTAAAAATAAAAATAAAAAAATATATTTAAATCTTCTCGAATTCTATTTATTATTCTGCCAAGTATAAATATTATATCTAAGTTTAATTATAACTAGTTAGACTTAATTATATCTAAACTAATCATGATAAACTATTTGACTATTTTTAATACTATTTCATATAAACATGAAAAAATATATTTGTAAAAATTACACAAGAATAATTGTGAATAACATAAAAAAATTTTTAAACAATTGATAACACATTGAATACATACAGAGCAACTAGTCTAATTAAAATTACTAATAAGAAGCACACATCGAAAATTGCTTAGCTATCATCCAATTGGAAACTTGCATAATTTTGATGTGTACTTCTTAGTAGTAGCTTTAATTAGATTAAATACTCTATCTATATTCAATGTGTTACCAATTGTTATTGAACACTGGTGCTGAACTTCTCCTTGGACCACTTCACAATCTTTTGAATGTAACCTCGTCATCTCTCTAGATGTGTTTTTATCATTTTTTGGCAAAAGTTTACCTATCGCAGATTTCAACACTTATTCATTTGCTAAATGCAACTGTGATCGTGACAACATAATAGTATCGAAGAGGTACTCCAGGTATTTTTGAATCTGCTAGAATCATGAGGCTTCCCGACTGTAATGCAATTTATTTCCCTGATTTGCAGCAAGGGTAGTTTCAAAGTGGACTCGAAAGAGTTGGAACAGAGATACAAGAGTCTACAGAAGAAGCTGCATCCAGATCTCACAAGCTCAAGTCCCAGGTGAATGCACTTTGATGTTTGAAGATGTTTGTGTGGCTTATCCCAATCCCATCGGTTATGAGCAACTTGGAGCTGCAGATATGATCATCAGAACGTTCTCATCAGGATTCTCTCTACAAATGCATTTTTCCAACACTGTTGTTGAGCAAACTTCACTTCGTAAAATGTGAGCACACGGCCTGTACACAGTCTTTGCCATGGCATCAGTATTGTCCTTATATATCTCTCAGCAGTTCAGAGGTTTGAGCTTGCTTGTATATACAGTTTTTGAGGAGACGAGATACAGAAAGTAGACGAGTCTGAAGAGGCGACTTCTGAAAGCTCTACATATACCCTGTTGACATACTGAAGGTGTGCCTAGATCTCATACTGAGCTGACTCTTAACCCGAAATCCTTGTGTTGCAGGCCAACTCCTTGAGTCAGCTGCAGTTCATACAAACCAACCTACAGCTCAGATCTCGTTGTCGGCATCAGAAGTTTCATTCTCTTCGCCATGAGCAGAACCTTGATTGACAAAAGAATTGCCATGTCCTTGATGTATGGAAAGCATCCAGCAACACTTGGAGCAAATTTTCTGAGTCGAAGCAGACCGCTTGCAAGTAAAGCCCTCGCACGCCCGGAAAGTTCAGCAAGCTCTCTCGCACCAGGAGGGTCGTGGCCTAGCAGATAATCATGGATCCAGCACAGCAGAGAGAACAGGCCGAAGCAGACGGATCCAAAGATCATGCAGCTCAAAGCAGCGAGAAGAAGCAGCGTTCCCAGCGCTGTGATGACCGGAATGAACGATACGAAGAAAGACGAACTTAAGAAGGTCGTCGAGATGAAAACGGATAAGCCAGTGGCCATTGAGACGATCACTCCCGCGAGCATCAGACTCCCCATCGTGAGCGTTGCCAGTCCTATGACAGTGGCCAACACCAACGCGTCCGTCAGATGGAAAATTACCTTGCTCGCCCACTGAGCTGCCTTCGAGATGGCGCGACTCCTAGTCCTGGGCTCCGAGGCCATGGCTTCAAACAGATCATCGAGGCGGTATCCCTTTTCCATCAGGATCTTCACCACACCCATTCGAAAGACATCGTTCCTTGAGAGACCATCTGTGTGATCAGGATACTCTTCTCGAATTTTGTATTCCAAGTATCGAAGACAATCTTCACTTTCCACCAAATTGGAAGAGCTCGAAGAGCTCGAAGGAGTAATTTCTCGATCGGTGTTGTCCGAACTCGTTGCCTCCTGATTCGTGAAATCAAGGAACAGCTCCACGAACTTGACCACCTCCTCTTCTGTCCATGCTTCGAAGCACTCGTCGAACACCTCAGCCATCGATTTCATCATCTTCGGGCAGGTTCAAGACGGGATCTGATGCTCGACTTTCTTCTGCACGAAAGCACGGCAGTGGGTGGAGGGTGCAGAGTCCCCGACCACGAGACCGTGGGACGCGACCCGTGCCTGCTGCGATGCTCCGAGCGAAGATGGTGCCGGCCCCTCCTTCTGCAAGCTCGACGGCCATGATATGCGCGCAGAGAGGACGAGGCCGAGGGCCGACACTCAACATTCGCAACCGTTAGAGTTCGAACTGTCCACGCGAATTGATTAGCCGGTGCTGGCAGCGCTCCGCAACGCCCTCGGAAGCCGACTCTTTCGAATCGACCTCGGATCGAACTCGCAGCTATGCTCCGAGCGAGCTATGGCGCCGTTGTCGTTGCCTGCTATGGATAGTCAGGCACGCACCCATCGAGGGATCTGGCTGCGTCGCCATCGATCGATCGATCGACTGCGCCCTTACGAATTCTCTAGTTCTTTGTCACTCGGACCTTTTGAACAAATTTATATCTTCCGTTCTCCGTCCTCACCGGACCAGCCGAGGAGAAATTGGCCTCATAACAGACTTGCGAACTGCATTGAAAACTTACGTCATCCCCAAATTTGAGGATTTCGAGGTGGTGAAAGTGATAAAAGGTCCGAGACCTGCTTGATTTACGAACCAAAAATTTCACAGGAGCCCACTTTCAGTTCCTGGAATTCTTTGTCAACAAGAAACCTGAAACTTTCCAAAATAATAGTGACAAAACTGAAACTCGGTATCTGAGAAGATTTAAATCCCTCTCCTTTCCACTGGCATCCATTCCGAAGTCCCAGATTACATGGAGTCAGTGAGTACTTCTTACGAAAAACACAAGCAATCATCGATCGATCGTTCCCAAATAGCTCATGAACTTCGATTTACAGGATGCACACCGAGTCCACGAGTCCGATCATTGGGACGGTGTGCACGAGCTAGATCGCTCGAACAGCTCGGGCTTTAGATCACTGGACGCGAGCGAAATGACACGTGGCATAAATATAACCTTCCCGAAAAGAGCCCCGAAATGTCGGGGGACCCAAATTACTCTCTGCCTGCGTCTGCAGAGCCCAAAGCTCGACAGATTGTGGCACAAATCTTGTGAATCCACAGCTGAAGTTGGCCCGACCGAAGCCGACACTGCACAGTGTAGAGCGTCTTATCACCTTCTTTGTTGCTGTGCATCTCTATCCAGATTCTTAATCTTCCGGGTTTGATAGAATATCAAAGAGGTCTGGTTCGTAGTGCAGAGTGTTGTAAGTGGAGCGTGATCGGCAATTAACGACCACTGACCCTTCTCTAGTCCCTCTCGATTGTTCTGGCATCTCCAGTTGGATCCCCGATCGCGCTGAATTTGGTGGTGGTTTCTCATAAAAGACTTGTCATTCATGAATAGCTCAGCCTCGATGGGCACGGTGTTTTCGTTGACGCTGTAATTAGATTGGTCGAAGGGGAGTTTGGTGTCCTGTCTTTTCGACCTCTTTTACGACTCCGTGCAATCATGAGAAGACAAGTTTCCAGCTCGGGGTTATACCGTCACTTTCTAACCAGAAACTTGGAAAATGGAGCCGAGAAGTCTGTTCGAGCCCTAAATTCTTCTGCGCAGTTTTCTTCGACGTCTAGATTTCCCGATTCTCCAGGTGCTCCTCAAATTGCACACCCTGATCGGAATTCGGGAACTTCTCAGGGCCTACTGTCTTTTTTCCAGCCCGTCAGATGTCTGGATTCGTCCGCCCGCCCCCGTCATGTAGACTCTGTTCCTCGTTCGTCTGTCATCGAAACGCGGAGGAGGTCGTTCGTTGCAACTGCGGGCAATGAGAAGGGGCCGAGCAAGAAATGCTGGGCTTGTGAACATGACATTTTGGGCGGGAGCGGTTTGTTTTGCCCCTCCTGCGATGGCATACAACCGCTAGACTTGTCCGTGGACCACTTCACAATCTTCGGAATGTAAGCTCGGCATCTCTGTAGATGTGTCTTTATCACTTTCTGGCAACAGTTTACCAGAGCGCAGATTTCAACACTTATTCATTTGCTACACGCAACTGTGATCATGACGACATCATCGGACCGAAGGGTTACTCCAAGGATTAAGTCTGCTAGAATCATTCGGCTTCCCAGATTGTAATGAATTGTTTCCCCTGACTTGCAGCGAACGGAGTTTCAAAGTGGACTCGAAAGAGTTGGAACAGAGATACAAGAGTCTACAGAAGAAGCTGCATCCAGATCTCATGAGCTCCAAGTCCCAGGTATATGCACTTTGATGTTTGAAGAAATCGTGTAGCTTATCCCAATCCCATCGGTTATGAACATCTTAGAGCTGCGATCTGATCATCAGAAAGTTCTCATCAGGATTCTCTCCACGATTGTATTTTTCCAATACTGTTGTTGAGCAAACTTCACTTTGTAAATTGTGAGCACACGGGCTGTACACCGTCTTTGCCACGGCATCAGTATTGTCCTTATATATCTATCAGCAGTTCAGAGGTTTGAGCTTGCTTGTATATACAGTTTTTAAGGAGACGAGATACAGAAAGAAGACGAGTCTCGGAGGAACTTAAAAAGCCTTTTTCTTTCGTAATCTTCAGGGTGAAGTTTGGACATCTTGTAGGGTTGAGCCCAGGCAATGGAGACCGAGGTTATTTTACACATTATCTCAGAAACTAGTGTGATCATTTAAGGCCTAACGTCTTGCGGTCTCCATCGCATCTGCAAACAGAAAGAACAAGGATACTCAGCGGACCAGTCGTCTCATGTAATTCAAGCATATTTCCAATTACTCAAGCCTTTGTCCAGAGCACGATATTTGGTAAACACTCTGAAATCCAACCCTCTGTACGTTCTATTCGAAGAGTAGGTCTCAAGTCATGAGCAAAACTTTACAACAAACTAGTATCTTTTCTACCCACATTTTTACCAGATGCTTTTCTGTAACTGGAACTCACATGTTAGTGATTTGTCAGGATGCATAGCACTCTCCAGTGATGCTGTTAACTATCTAGGACGGTAGTATCAAGTCACTTGTACGTTGAGGCATGAAAAGGGGGATGAGTTGATTGGAGTCATGTATCCTATTCACTGGAAAATTTGAATCGAATCTATGAATGCGAGGTACTGTAACTTAGAATCCTTGCCGGCATTCTGTTTGCAGTTGGGACTTCATGGAATCAAAGTTGATGAGGAGGGGACAATTGATGACCCCGCTCTTCTGATGGAGGTCTGGTGCTTGTCTGTGTTGCAAAATATGTTTATAATATAGAAGATTGGAGACAATTGTACTTGTATTTGCTTTGTCATGGCTGTCCGAGTCCTCTATGTCTCACTCTCTTCTTAATCAGCGGTAATAGTACTGCGAAAAGTCGTCGCACTTTGCTTTTCCATGACACCACTGAGTCCCCTTAATTCAAACTTCAGTAAAGAGGACGTTTAGGCCTTATGCGAGTGTGGTAGACAAAAGGATCTTGCTGTTTCCAATGTTCTATGAATGAATAAGAATATCAGCTAAGAATTGCAGACATGATTATCAATATATCGACTAAACGTTTTCTTGCAGATAATGGAGATTCGTGAATCGCTTGAAGACGTATCCGATGCCAAGGAACTTCAGAAGCTGCAAGCTCAAGTACGCCTCGTGTCCTTTTTACTTCCAGACAGTTTGTTGGGTCGGTACCGTTGTTTTGTGGAATTGATTTGTGGACACATAAACACTGCAGACGAAGAGGCTACCTGCAAGCTTGGTTCCAAGATAAAATCTCCCTGAAAACTAGCGGACTGTTGCACAGAGCTCGGAATCCGTCTTTCATCTCCTCTTTTTCGAAGAAGACATGTGTTATTGCTAATAGGTGAATTCTACGGATTCCAACGAGGTTTGAACACGAAGTTGTGTCTGAAACTGGTACATTGTTCCCTTGGGTGTGCAGAATGCTTTGAGGATACAGGATACGGAAAAGGTTTTAGAAAAGACATTTGCAGCTGGAGACTTAAAAAAAGCCGTTTCGTGGGTGCAGCGCCTGGCGTATTACAACAAGGTCGATGAAGAGATTGTAAGAAAACTCTAGTAACCTAATCAGTATCTTGTACTAATATGAAGTCGGCTGAAGAAGAGCACTTTGATTTTCCTTGTTCACTAAGATCAGAAGTTCTGTGACCTTCTCAACGAAGCTTCATACAAAAGAAGGCCTCTTAATAAATCGAAACACGCCAATTGTAAAACATTTGAGATGTAGTAGGACTCTTTAAGTCATATTCTGACTGGTGGTTCTATGTATAAGAAACAAATGTTTCTTCAGCTTTTTCACTGTTCTCTTTCACGCGTCCTTTTATTGTACAGTCGTCTACGAGTTCTTATGTCCTGACATTTTCAGATGTTTATTATACTCTAGGATCGACCTTCAGGCTACTAGGTCGCTTGCTCATCGCTGACTGCTTTCTGTACCTTTGTTACCTCTGGATCTCGCATATTCTTCTGAATCATTTTGTAGACCTTATGTCATTATGTTTGGATGAGAAATTTGACTTTTTAAGATAATTCACTTGTCGACGTGCTTCCTGGCATACTAAGATCACTAAGATGGTGAGCTTGTTAGAACACATGTCTGTCTTCATCTGAAACTATGCTGATATTCGCATGAGTCACTGCAGAGGTTTATTTTTATTGACCTCCTTCAGCTCAGAAGAGTTCCAAGATGTACTCGGTTTGACAGCCGACTTTTTAAAGTTTGACCACTCGTGACCTCGCTATTCGTGAGTTAGACCTAGCAGATGAAGTAAAGTTCCACTGTTCATGAAGGTGCTGGTCTATATCACAATGTTATTGTTGGCTCAGTGCTCCGACCTGATCTGCACGCAGGTTTTGCTGGAAGGTTAGTTAAGTTCTTTTCATGCAAACTGAAGCCGAGATTCACTGGTATGAATCATTGCATGCATTGGTGTCTACAGCCTTGATAAAACCCATCGAAGCACGACTAGCACGAGTTTCATAACAGTTCAGACCTGAAGATGCAGGAACCTTTCGTACGTCGATCTTGAGCAGCTCTGAGTATCAAAGGATGCGTTGAATTGGGCTCTTTTACTGGTTAAGAAGGTTATCAAGCACGATCAAAGAGTTCTCAGTTCCTTTGTAACAAAACGATATACTCTTTCTTCTCAGAGTCCAGGACGTAACTACAAACGCGTTCAGAAAGTTACTTAGATGACCTCGAAAGACATAAAACTCTGCTAATATTTGAGTTTAAACCTGAAAGATAGTCGTAGAGGACGGTGCCGGAAGCCTTGGAGGTCTGTACTCCGGCTAGACAATACTCCGGTTTTACGACTGGCAGATGCAAACCCAGCTGAGAGTGCTATAAAGAAGGCTTCACTTAGAGCATTGTAAGAGGTAGCAGTTATTCATGCTGCGCGGAAGTGAAAAAGAAGGTGGAAACGACGGATTGAAATGGAAGGATTTGAAGGAAAACTTGAGAGATTCCTGGTTGCACCAGGAAGCAAAATGCCGCGTATGTAATAGCTTGTGGCCCTCGACACAACTACATCCTCGACTAAAGACGTGTTCTTATCAGATCAGACTGGAGACTCATGAGCATCTGTTGCATATTTGTCAACCAATTTGTCCCACAATGAAGAGACCTTACACTCGTGAAACATAAACGTGCCCTAGCAAATGCTGACAGAAGCAGATATTATGCAGATTATAAATGTCAACAGAAACCACTCCGGGAGACTATCTTTTGACTACATCCTGCTGTCAATGTGAGAGAAACTAAAGGAACCATTGCTCTATGTTTTGTTATGTTAACCAACGTCATGTACCTATGGAGAAACTACACCTTGTTACTTTCCTCCATATCATACAATCATTTGATCTGAAACTTTATAAGTAGTTATTACATGTGCGATGATGTCATAACACATGGTAATGAATCTCTTTATAAGCAATTGATGTCATATTATTGTAAGTGTCTAAAATTACATGAAGAGTTCTATATGATTTTTTTATTCACTATCAATATTAACAATGGATCATTTGTTCTAGAAGCATATTTATGTGCGGAATATAAAGGGATATACCTCTAACTAAAACGTGGACAAATTTTAGCAGTCTAATTTATCGCGAAATCCACGTGGTCAGCCATGCTCCTCGTGCGTGGCGAAACCTGCATTTGGGGTTCTGGTTAGGGCCCTAAGCTAACCGAGAGATACCTTCAAATCACACTGTTCTCCTTCTCGAGTGTTCTGGATGGTGTGCAATAGGTGAGGATTATTCCTTTTGGTTTGTTTACTACAGTGCTTCTTATCCAGAATCTAGATTTTTGTCAAACTTAGAAACCAGAAGTATTCGATTCCCGAGGACTTGCCAGACATCTGGATCTCTTACGAGATCTGTCCGAGATTGAAGACTGTAAACAGTGCAACATTTGTCCGACGAGAGAGGACAGCTGCAAAAGCTAAGATTTACTTGGCATTTATTACGTAGGACTTGATTCAGATATGGTTGCATCACTTCATAGAAAAATAGTCAATACAGATGAATCTTCTAACGAAAGAAGGCATCAGTAATGCTGAAAGGTTAAGCGCATATACGTGTAGTTCCCTGGCACGCACGCACGCCCCTGACACATCAACTCTCATGAAGGGTTTGAGGCATTTTTCCAGAGAAGACAATACTGTTTGACGATGGGCAAGATGAAGAGGGCCAACGTCAACCAGGATTATTTTCAAAGAATGTCCCTGGTTTCGTTCAAGAAACCCATTCTGATTCCCCTGCAGCCACACCCACCTCAGTGACTTTTCGCCTCGTACCAACCATCCCTGCAGCCTGGTGCCTCTTGCACAGCTGAGACTAGTTTCACCGCTTACAATCCTCCACGCCTAGCACTAGCATATCTCCATCATATCTTCTGAAATGATATTATTGATTCTCAGCTACGTCCCATGGGTTTCAATCGGTTTCAGTCTGCTCATCATCCCATTCTACGCAAAGCCACATACCTTTGAAGAACATCCTTGTGAAACCTCAAGAGCCCAGGCTCTCCAGCACATGCAAAGAAGAAGATAGCATCATCCTCTCACATCATTTTGATAAGTTTTTTTTTTCGAAGGTTGAACGTAAATATTTTTTTTCGTATTCCTCGTTTACGTAAGTGACAAGATTCCGGGAGATGTTATATTAAAGGTGAATCCTGTATAAATTATGTTTAGCATAAGAAAACCATATTTAGCACGTTACTCTCAAGAGCTATTCTCACTTGCAGTTTCTACATCTTAATTGTTTTTCAAGACGATAGTGGATGGATAATATATCAATCTTTGATTGTATAAATAATGGATTATTTGGTTGCCAAGCAAGAGGAAAAAGTTGAAGAGCTCGCATTTTCAGGGAGTTGCAGTCATTGCCACATTGAGTCATTGACCATACTACTGTACTTCAAAGAGGAAATCCTTGTCAGTCAATGACTCAACCGCCAACGTATTCTTCGTTGGAGTATTGTGGACACAAAAGATGCAAAGGTGACGGCTTCAGATAAGGTCCTCAACACAAGGACTGCACATGGGAGGCGTGAGACCGGTTCCAAAGAGGGTCACATGCTCGCTCGCAGTCCGAGGAAAAGACATGCGGGCTCACTTCTGCCATTGGAGCATGCAATCTGAGGTCACATGATGCTGTCCTGCACCTTTGTGTACATCCCCGAGACAAGAACAATGCTCTGGAACTTCTTTCGGCCAACAACTCGTTGCAATGAGTTCCTACAATTCTCTTGAAGAAGTTTCTGTTCATTCTTATTTTTACTTATCTACATTGTGGAGTAATGTTATTCTAACAATCAACAATTTTTAAACGAACACTATGTTCACGATCCCGTACTTGGTCTCATGATTGAATTTCACAAAGCTTCATACGAAGTACTTAATTTTTCACTTTCTTTTGAAGCAACTTGTGTATTTGTATCAAAACATCAGGTACCTTGTTCGTCTGGATTTTTCTAATTGCTAAATTTGGTGGGGGTGGGGGAAGTCAATAACTTGCAGAGGAAGCGGTGACAGGCCGAAAGGCAGCGATGTAGGTTGCAAACCAGGAGTTCAATTGAAAGTAGACCATACGTGTAAAACACGTACATAGTGTAGGTCACGGTGTCCGCTTCGTATCTCAAACCAGTGCAGTTAAAATTCTGTATGTGGGAGACGCTGCATGCAGCAACCGCTGTAAGCTGGAAAAATTGCGTCCAGGTTGACTTCCGTATTATGTGTATCTGATATGTAAGTCTTATCCGTTGTGATTTGTGCGAATAAGATGTTTCAGGTTTCGAAATTAAAATTAAAATCTAATGCTATTTAAAGTAAGAATCAAATTTAGATGGTATTTGAAGTAGACTTTTAGAATCTGAACTTTTACAGAACGGCCTCCCTTAAGAGAGAATTCTGGAGTATGCTGTAAGAGTTATGAAGAAAGTCTTGGGGATGAACTTAGATCTACTGGCATTTTATCTTTATATTTTATAACTCTATATACCAACTGAGTTCTTTTGGAGAAATTCATCGCAATATTTTCTTACACATTCTACCAACTGCCTGTCTTTCAAGTAAAAATATATATCCCACTATTTTATTTGACTTTCTTCCATCTGATTTTAATCGATTGAGTTACATCGAAGTTAGATCAAATCCCATGCACCTCTATCTAAACCTTGTGGAGGACCTCGGGACTGACAAAATAAACAAGCCCACAAAATACCTCCCAGTAGTTTATAGCCGAACTGTTTGCTATTCACTTGGCCCCATTTCCCTCGTTTGTACCTGAACAGACTCGTCCCTTGCCGTCGACTGTGTACTGTACATTCATTTGCTATACTGTATTCAAACTCTACGTATACGTATTGTTGACCCTTATTGTATGTGGACCCCTGCCCAGAACTGGACCTTCTGAGTGTAGGGAATGCAGAAGTCACCGAAGGCCGCACAGCACGACTCGCCCACGGTCCACTGTCCCTGCACGACACCCATTGGTTTGACCTCCTCGCAGTGCGGAGCTAATTTTCACAACACACAACAGTAAGCACGGCAAGCACCTGCGTCCCAACACAGCTTGAGGTGCAAACAACAACAACCGAGAGACGAGCTCATACGAGCTTGGACGCTTTCGCTGTCGGTCGTATCCGTCCATGACTGCATGATGTGCGCACAGTTAGCTATGTGGGAGAACGTCTGCCAAGAAAGCCCTGGAACTGTCCAGGCCAGCCTCCACAGCCAGTGGCATGGACTCTCCAATGTCCCTCTGGAGACGGAGGACAAGACTACAGAGCGGCGGGTGCTTGTCCATATTCATCTCCAAATCAGTCCGTCAGGGCCTAGTTGATGCCTCGCGCGGTTTGGAGGACACCAACTTCTCCTAGAGTCTTTCGGGTCTGGTCTGGTGTGATCTGATCTGGTGTGGGCTGTAGTTTCATCTCTTCTGAGACTTTTCCGTGCCTCCGGCGACGTGGTACCTTCGTACGGCCCTTTTCTCGAGTATTCTATAATATTCGTGATAGCTGATGTCAGAAAATGCTCATCTTCAAGCATAAGTCGGCCATTCGGAGATAGGAATGAGTACAAAGCGGTTCCTGCCCGATTTAAAATCTTCTGTTTTGAGGATTCAGAAACTTTCCTGCGTGCGTTTTCCGCATGCTCAATCTGGAAGGTCTGTGCTTTTGGAACAGGGTAAATATGATGGTCAGTATAGAAGGAACGGAACAGTGAAACAGACGAAGACGAAGACGGCACGATGCGGATGCTATTCCCATCTTGTGTGTCGATGGTGGGGACATGCTCAGACCATGACTAGCGTTTGCGAGTGACTTGATTCGGACTTGATGCGGTGTGGTGATCCACTCTAGGTCTAATTGGAAGAAATGGCCTGATCCAGGTCGGACTGGAGGTTCTCAGCTGAGAGTAAAAACTCAGAAAATCTTCAAGCTTCCTCAATCTCACTCACTAAATTATCGATCCAATCGAGACTGCAAGCGTTCTCGCCGACAAACATTTATCAGCTGAAACTGAGATGGGGCGAAAATTGCAAGTGGCTGTAGTTTTATTCGACGGTGTGTCTGCTCTTGATGCGACTGCACCTTACGAGTGTCTGCAGCTTCTGCCCAACACCGAGGTAGTCTTTGTTTCGCACACAGTCGGTGCTCACAAGGACGCTCTGGGCTATCTGTCGCTTAATTCCACTCACACGTTTCACGAGGTCTCTCTACCAGACATCGTCATAGTTCCGGGTGGACTCGGAATCAAAAAGCTCCTGAAAGATCTGGTGGTTCTGGACTGGCTGCAACAGGTTGGTTACGATTCTGCAACCGAATATTTGTGCTGAAGAAGAATGAATGTCAGTCAGTCAGTCAGTCAGTCGCCTGGCTGAGTACCATGCATCTAGACCTTACATCTACCCTGTGGGATTCGGACATTTGAAATCTGGCTTATAATTTGGCCCTCGTCAACTCTGTGTCCAGGTTAACGACACAACGCTGTTCACAGCGTCGGTGGGATCAGGATCACTGCTTCTGGCGGAAGCAGGCTTGTTGACTGGACTGTCGGCCACCACTCACTGGGCTGCCCTTGAAGCACTGGAGAAACAAGGCGTGAAGGTCGCCAAGGGCCGCGTTGTGCAGCAGGTAAATGCGTAAACCTGAGAATTCTTTTGCAATTCGCTGATTCATACCACATTCGTTATGTCGTTCCAACCATATCTCAATTTCAATATGTTGTCCGCCGTTCCATCTGTTCCTCGATCGAGCAAGAGAGGTGGATTCAATGATACCTGGACTTTCAACGATGATAATCTTTAATCCTCCTCGTCCTCCTCCTCCTTTGTATTAAGATTGTGTGGCGACTGTCTGCAGGGGAAGATCATTACAGCAGCAGGTCCGACTTCTGGTATCGAGATGGGCATACTGCTGGCATCATTAGCTACAAACAAGGACTTTGCGAAGAGCGTGGAGCTGATCCTCGAATACGATCCGCAACCGCCTTTTAACACCGGATCCACGACCAAGGCCGGCGCTGAACTCACTGCCAAAGCTACGACCATGCTGTATGCGAACGAGCTCAAGGCGTCGAACCTCTAATCTCGCGCACCCTGCGAAGATCATGGAGTGCTGTATGATAGAGAATACCAGTGATTTTTATATGATGGCTTGGATTGTACGAGAGCAGCAGGTGCGTGTTACGTTTCCATGAATTGACAGGTCTAGTAAGCTCTTACTGGCTGATTCCGTGGGGAGGAAGACACAGCTAGCACATGCGTTGCTGTTAAAACCTTCGTCTTCATCTCGTGTGTACGTGCTCTCGTACGCACATCTCTCTCTGCTTGTTCGAGATTCCTGTCCGATCGATAGTCACTGCCCAAGTTTTCATCGAGCGCAAATCTAGAATCTGCGATCAGACTCCAACGAAACTAGACATTTGCCTCAAACGCAGATTGGCAGCAGATGACAACAGACTTACAAGCAACGATGCTGCAGCGGATCCGGACGAATTATTCTTCTCGTCTTCCGCCTCATCTGCTTTGCCTTGTGAATAGCAGTTCTATCCATGAAGAGGTGTGCAGTGTATGTGTCGCCCCAAATTGTACAAGTTTTGTTCGATTTGCACTCTGGCGATCGGTCGATGGCAAGGTCCAGGAGTTTTTAACCTTCCCTAGACTTTGGAACCAGAGCCCCGGCCTGCAGCCTCCTGCGCCAAGAAACTTGTCACATGATTGGCATAAGATGGTCATAATAAAATTCGGCATTTACCTTCTGTTGGAAGTGCTTTTTGCTCTAAGATTTGTGCTCTTTTGGATTAGTCCAGTTCTGCTCAAGGCCATTCGATCGATGAAGAAAGCAAGTCCATTGTACAGTTTCCATCTCCCACTTATCGAATTCTTTATAGTCGGTCCACTGGACGATCTCCACGTCAACTTCCTTCCACCGAGATGGAATGTATTGCAATGTGCCTCGCATATATGAGCAATCATATATTTGTCTGATGGTGGTGGAGTTTAGGGTTTAGTTTAGAGTCCGACAGTAGTGTTTTTGTTATTTGATATATGTCTACAAGTTGTGAGTATGCAGCTTACTATTCATGTTAAAACGTAGCATATTTTTTTATGTTATGTTTTAACATAAATAGTAACCTATTTATCTTGAAATTCCATCATTTAAGTAGAAAAGATTTACCACATCACAGTTTACTATGTTTTTCCTTGTAAACTTAATCTTTTTCTTAATCTGGTTTAGTAGGAAACCCTTCAATACACCATTTACTTCTTAAAAGAAAGATTGAGCATTCAAACCAATAAAAATATATGACGTCTTTGGACAATAGAGTCTAGGCTTATATCTGTAAAAGAACTTCGAACCTTTACAACACATCTTACACTTGGGATATCTCACGCCTAGTTCAAATGCCAAACGTAGCAGATTGAAAGTTCTCCTAGCATCATATCTCTGAATAATCTATCTTGTTAAAATTCGCCAAAGATTTGTCAGATATACATTCAGAAATACTTCTGTCTCTAATCAACTCAATACTAGAAATGCTTCGAATTTTTTCAAACCATTCAAATTAATTCAAAACAATTTATTTTAAGAAAAGTAAAAACATAAAATATACAAGAACAGAAATTTTTCAGGGTTTCCCATTTAATTCCGTTAATAATGCCTCGGTAGTTTTCTTTCCGTTTTAAAATTTCTTCACATTATCACAAGGAAAAAATTTTAAAAAAAAATCTGTATAGAAAATTGAATGAGTGTTGGGTCAGAAACAGTACCTTGTTCATAACTTTTTGATAAGAAATATTCCATGAAAGATAAGAAAAATTATGTACAACATATATTTTATAATTATACCTTTCTAACTTAAAGAAAAATTGAAGCTTAACAAAAGTTGAGGAAATATTTAGATTAATATCAATATCATAAATATTTAAATTTCGAAAAAATATTTATCTATATTTATATTTAAACCTTTAATTTTTCAAAATAAACATAGAATGTAGTTATACATAAAAAACTTAATTTTTTCAAATTAAACATAGAATGTAGGTTATATATATACCTTTATAAATATATATATTACAGTCGGTAAAACGTCCGTCAGGTGACATTGACTCTCGGCATTCCGAAGGTTTCAGTCCCATTTCATGTGCAGTTTTATAGTACACATATAACCCTAGCCAAAATTGCGGCTAGTAGCATTTCAATAGACTCCTGAGTATTTCCGAGCACGTCCCGAGGCAAAATTGCGACCATGCTGGGGATCGAACCCAGAATCTCTAGCTCCGTAGGCTAGCGCCTTATCCATTGGGCCACACGGTCGTATATTTACCTGAGAGAAATAAATATACTTGAACCATTTAAAAATCTGTTTAAGAGATGAAAATATAAAAAGCAGAATAGGGGTAAATTTTTTAGGAAAAAAATAATATTGACTTAAATTTAAAGACATCGGTAAATTTCCTATCATATTTATGTTTGAAATAAAATTAAAAAAACACATGACCAATTAATCAGGCTTGAAATATAAATAAATGTGAATGGATCTTGAACGATTTATAAAAAATGAGCTTGATTTAACTTTAGCCGTTAGTATCCAAGTTGTATGTGTTACTGATTGGATAACGAGAGATTAGAGAATTTTTGCCTCAGTTGTATTTTTACGACAACTTTAGGCATGCAAATATTTGTGAAGTAACAAGATTTTTTGTGTGCCGGTCAGATGTGAAATCTTATGGGAGATTTTTACAGATGAGTGTATGTTTATGCTAAGGTTATGATGTATCTTTTAATAACTCACTTTCACCAAATGTGTTCTCAATCATATTTCAATCATTCAATCTTAAATTTACACAAGTATGAAGTTTGCTTGATTTATGAATAAACTGAAATTATGGTAAGTATTATTTGGTTTCGATATGCATTTTGATAAGAGTCATACATGCATTATGGAGATGTTATTCGATACACATAATTAATCAAACACTGTCCATCAAGTTGCTGATGCATACATCTAATTGTCTTACTTTCAATTATCCATGTATAGATCAACTGGAAAATTGAAATCGATGTGAGAGTTTTTTAGAAAGATATATACTTATTTTTTTATGAATATATAAAATGATGTGAACTCGTTGAAATTATGGAGAGAAAAATTCGTGATCATTGTCTGCAGCACAAATTCATTATAATGAATGGATTCAATCAAGATTGAAAACAAGGTAAACTGAATAGTGTAAATATTTTAAAGACTGATAGCTGTCGAATCGAATCGATATTTTGCGATTAAAAACTTCATTAGTGTATCACCAGATCATAGTTTTATTCCAATGATATGAGAAGTGGATTTTAAAAGATGGTCAAATTCTTTTTACTTCTATCTACTTTTGAATGGTTATGTATTTTTTTTTGTTCATGACTAAAAAATCGTATTTGATTTATATCTAACAGAAAATCTAATGCTTTTTTCCTATTTGATCATTACTATCTTACCATCACAACCCCAAAGACTCACATGTTAAAGACTGATCATATAACCCGGAGCTTAATTATTTTGACTTCATCCAGTAGACCTACAACCCATATTTACTTTAATATTCGAAGAAGATCTCCAATCTTGTATATATTTTAAGTTCTCACAATTTTTTAACTTCTTATATTTGATGCAGTTTGTAATGTGTATGTATGTATATCAATGTATATTTGAAACATATTTGCCCAAATCTGCATTTTTATTCATAAATTAGGATTCTTGGAGTATTTTGTAATGTACATTTTCTAATACAAAACATCCAATGGAGTAGCTCATGTTTGGATTTTCAACTCACATTGAATATTTTACGTTAGCGGTTTTTCAAGAGTTTAGAATATATTATGCTAGTAGTTAAATCAAGTATTGCTAACTCTAACTCTCTTGTTAATTGGACTAGGATTAGCTTATTACTATACATGAAAGCTGGTCATAAATCTGAATTACACAAACTTAGAGTTTCAGTTTCTGTGTCTTTTTGTGTTCCAGTAAACAAAGCATCAATGAGGTGAACCACTTAATGGCAAAGTCGGCTCTGTTGTATGGTTGTGGCAGTGACAACCTTAAACCATCAACTTATGATCTTTACTTTAAAAATATTTGATTATAGTAAATTATCAAATTGTTAGACTCTTGTAATACCTGAAATTATAACTAGATTTTTTAAATATTGAGTATTAGTTGCTTACAAGTAGAGCAAACTGTTATATTTGATGAAAAAAATTTACAATGAAAAACTTTAAAACGCAAATCATGCAATCGTGTGAAAGTAGAAAAAAAATACCACATCACTCAATGGTAGTTGAATTTTACATTTATCCCAACTATTTCTTCTAATTTAGCTTCATTTTTTTAATGAAAATCAAATGCACATGTTGCATCTTGCCTATGGCTCATTAAGATAATCTGTATGGCATTCAACTTTTGAACAGACCCTTGCAAGTCGATACGATTGTTGTGCATACTAATTATCACAAACAAGTACTTGTCTTGGAGCGTGGGTGCAAGTTCTATGTACACGGTTCTTCTTCATCCAATTTCCAGACTGTTGGGATCATGAAACCACTATAAGAGTACTGAACACTTACAACGTTCCTCAATTGGCCAGATATCTAAAAGTTCATAACATTATTCTACCAAAAGACGAACATTGTGCTTTATGAACCTCTTGAAAAAACAATAAGTACTTCACTATCAACACACAAACTGAGCATCTTAGCATTCTCTATATCGATGGAAAGATGTGTCCTATCGGCATTTTGCACCATTTTCTATCGATCTGGATTGAAACTCCCGAGCTACTACACCGAGGTGAGACGCAAAATTTTTATCGATTTGAGAGAGGTTTCAAGATAAATCCTATAATTAAGGATAACAGTCCAACACGGTACATACATTTAGACATTGTGAGGAGGGTGCAAACCCTCACCATTGCCAAATTCTCGAAAGTCCCAATCCACCGCTATGTAATTTCAGTGCATAAGATCAAAAACATTTGAAACATAGAAAAAAATGAGTTGACATCTATCGATTGTGCAAGTTTTTTCACCAAACAATAGGAAAAATTCAAACCCACTTTTTGACCTTTACGAAAAAACGTTTTGAGCTTCTGTTGCCAAAGATATAAAACCCAAGTATCATTTCTTGCAGATGCAACTCCAGGATATTGAGAGATTTACTCCATCGTGTGCAAAATTCATTGAGGTCGGTGTTTGATTGTCTGTGATCAGCATGATATCTTGTTGGAGCCACATCTTGCAGGTCTCATGTCACTTACATAATAACGTCCGGAAAATAAGCTTGCGGATTACTCGTCTGACATAAATCGTCTATATTCCGTTCTTAGCATGGTCCAAAGTCATCCACTCGAGCACTCTCTGCGTTTATTGCTTCGTATTAATGTATTGAACCTTTTGATCCGACTTCTATCCACTATGATCCCCACTTTGATTCACATACTTTTCAAGTTCGGGACCTTTATGCATGAATCCAGCAGTTGCAAGTTTCATATTTCCAACTTGAGTATGGGCTTAACATGGAAGTGCAGCAATGAAGGAATGTTGCCAAAGTTTTAATTAAATGTAGATGTTTGAGAATGTGTCTTGTGTATTACTAGTGGGTGAAGTAACCATGTTTCGAAGCTTCATGACACCCAGAGCTCCCATAAATTCACTCTGTGCCTGGATCTCATAATTTGCTCGTAGTGCGCACTTGTGGGACAACTGGGGACTCACCTCATGGCGGAAGACGAGGTAAGAGGGCGTAGGATGGCGACATATTGTAGTACCTCATGATTAGCGAGAGGACCACATGGTCGGCCGTCCGCCACACACTTTGACAATGTGCCCTCTGCGAGCAATTCGCCCTCCTGCATGATAAAGTCGGCGTCGTGCGCGTGTTGGAAACAGATGAAATGTCGGTAAACCGCGGTCTCGGAACAGCCGCGTCGAGTTTCTCCACAAGGAGAACGCGTCACAGTAGATATGGCGTCTTAGAGTGCGTCCAACGACGGAGAATGATCAGGCGCAAGCATGCACGATAAATGAGCTCAGAGGTTGGATCGTCCTTTAATGGGAGCTTCTCGTCCATGTCACAGTCATGGAGTTCCTTTCCGCCATGACACAAAGGACATTTATGCACATGATTGCGTCCACGACTGATGCTCATCTAAACTTGGCATCTCACGTCCCAGAGAAGCTTTTGGCCATGAAGCGAACCGCCGTCAGTTTCAGAATTCAATCGAAGTATCTAAAAGTTTGCCAAATTTGGAGACCCAGAATAAAGCCTGCGCTTTTGTGCTGCAAACGTCAAAGTTAAAGCCACTTCAGAACGATGAAGTGGAAGCAGATCCATGGCAGGCGGCAGGCGGCAGGCCACAGCACTTCGTCCTTTCCTCCTCTCCTCAAGAAGCGAAGCTACTCGGAAATAAGAGCTCTGCAATGCGCCTGAATTTCGCGAGCACTCCCAACCCTCTTTGTCTCGGCTGCGAGGAATGGAAGGAAAGGGCACATAGAATCCATCGATTCGAACTTGAGTTGTCTGAAGCGAATTAATAACTGGAACTGAATCGAACTTACAGATTTGAGCTTTAAAAGGTCAGATTCGAGACATAAGATGATTGGCGTCTTCTCCTTCTTCATCATCTTCCTCTCCTTCTTCTTCTTCAAGAGTGGTGGATGACCGGCAGGGCATTATCTTCCTCTGTGGAAACGAGCCTCGTGGTGGTTGGAACGCTCCACAATGAGAGATGTGGAAGAGGCCCGCGTTGCACTGACCCTGAGACCGAGAGGATGCTGCTGGCCCACGAATCTGCGGAGTTCTGTGTTTCTGAAAAGGCAGGGCGGCTAATTTGATCGAGGGGATACTGGGCGAATTTCGCTGCTATTCCACCGAGTGCAATTAAGGGAAAAGAGTTGTGGGTTGTGCATGCGACGCTCTTTAATGAGGAATCCAGGGGCCGCGAACGCTTCCATCTCCCGCTCAGCACCTCGGCTCGTCCATCTTTAGTGCAGATGGTCGCAGTGCCTCACTCTCTACTCTGGAATATTCCATAGCCCGGGTGTTGCATGCGTTCTGCTGTTCACAGCGTCAGCGATCTCGACGACGAGGGGACAGTTCGGAACGATATCTCCAGGCCCGGGCTTCCACCGTGTTCGGGTTCTATTCTTCAATCCTGCACGAGGAATCGGACCATCAGGCTGCACTCCGAGATCGAAGCTCTTGAATGAGTATGCTCGCAACGACTGCGGATTCTGGACTCCCATTACCATCTCCATCGGAACCTACGGATCCGGAGGTATCCAAGAGCTCAGGGCGACCACCTCAAGTTGATCACTCAGTCCGTGGCTTTGGGCACCCTTGAACGCACACTCTGCGTTGTCGTCATCCCCAAAATCTGTATCCAGAGGGACTCGTGATGGCAGGGTTCAAGTGAATTCACCACCGCAACGAGATCTCTGTTCTACCGAGGACCTCAGCTCGTCGATTGCTGCACAGGATTTCCAATGCGGACCAGTTTTGCGGGCAATGGTCTGGGAAGCACGAGCAATGACCTGCGTCATCCAGATCCCAATGTTGGGCATCTGAGCTCGGGCTTGCGTTTGCTTGCAATCCACGTTGCATAGCAGAACCTCGGAGAAGTCCATGGTGAGAGGCAGAAGAAGGCATATGTAGATCAGAATGTCTGTCACCACACCCGACCAGCAGCTACCTCAGAAGGCCTCGAGCAATTCATGTCGTTGACCTTATGGATCTTCGAGGGGAAGTCGCAGAGGCCATCCGCCGAGGGGCAGAGTATTTGTTCTCGAACCAGCTTCCGAACTCGTGCTGGTACTCTGATCTCCAGATCAGTCCGTCCAGCCTCTCGGACTACGTGACACTTTGTCGAGTCCTGAATGTGGATCTGCGAAGTAAGAAGGACAGCATCATTCAGTACTACAGCGAACGCCAAAATCCGAACGGGAGCTGGTCGTCTGCTTTAGAGAGCCAAGAGGGAACGATCTCCAGCACAGCAGAAGTGTTTCTGTCGCTCAGAATTCTGGGGCTCAGCTCCGGCAGCCCTTCGTTGTCGAAAGCCGGAAACTACATTTCGAAGCAAGGAGGCCTGAGATCGAGCAGCGTGCACATTCTCACCAGAATTAAGTGTGCTCTGTTCGGATTGGTCTCCTGGAACGCGGTACCGACCATCCCAGCCGAGCTGGTTCTGCTGCCCTCGCAGCTTCCGCTCCTTCTGGACACGAGCTCGACCTGGAGGCGGTCCGTCTGGATTCCTCTGCTGGTGATATACCATCACCGCCCAGTGTTCCCTCTGCCCGACGAAGTGGTTCTCAATGCCCCGAAGTCGATGGGATCGTTGAAATCGTGGGGTATCGACGATCCGCCACGCAGGCTACCGTCGCTCGATGTGCTGATGAAGCATGGCTTATGCTTCAAGAGCTTCTTTCTTGTGGCTAGAGACTTCTTGTTTCGAATTTATGAAAATCATAAAGTAGAGTTTTTACGTGAACACGCTCGCAAAAAATGCATCGACTGGATTCTGGAGCACGGGGAAGATGTGGAGGATTTGAAATCCTCGGACGCAGTTTCTTCCATGCTGTATACCACGCTTGCCATGACTCTCGAGTCCGATGGTGTGGACTCCTCACACGTTCACAAGACGATCCAAGCGCTCCACGCTTGCCGCTGGCCATGGGACGAGGACAGCTCGGGTTGCAAAATTCGACCTTCTGTCCTCTCGGTCTGGGACACTGCTCTAGCTTCTTTCTCGCTGCTTGAGTGTGGATGGGATCCTGACGATGGAAGAGTGAATAGAGCCTTGCGCTGGCTGCTCGACCGTCGGCTTCAGTTCAAGGACGGGGACTGGAAAGCTCGTCGTCCACAATCGACTTCCGAAGGGTGCAGTGAGAGGTACCCGGACGTCGATATCACAGCAGCGGTGCTACTCTGTCTTTTCAAACACGAATCGTTCGCCGCCATTGGCAGCGTCCCCATCGAGCGTGCAGTGAGGTGGTGCACGAGAGTGCAGAACAGCGATGGCGGATGGGCAGCCTCACACGCAGAGAATGGTTGTTTGTTTCACAACGAGATACACTCGGAATCTGGTCGAAGCACTCCTGATGTCACAGGCCACGTCTTGGAAGCTTTGGGATTCTACCTGAGGTCCGAAGTGTCGAAAAATCACAGCAAGTCACTCAGAAAACGAGCCTACTACGCTTGTCAACGCGGCATCATCAATTTACGGCTCTCTCAAGATGCCCAAGGACTATGGTTTGGCAGGGGGGATGCACATTGCATCTATGGAACGATGAATGCGCTCTGCGGACTTGCAAGTCTCGGTGTCCGTGGCCCTGAGTTTGTGGTTTCTCGTGCATTAGGCTGCTTGAGGAGAAGCCAGAACGGGGATGGAGGTTGGGGAGAACATGGGAAGAGCACTCCTTCTCAAACTGCCTGGGCTCTTTTGGGGCTGCTGAACTATCTTCCGGCTGAGGACTCAACGATCGAGCATGGCATACGATGGCTGCTCGATAGTCAGACACAAGCCGGCCGGAGATACTCTGATTGTGGATCGCTAGACTTTGCAGTCCCCATCTCAGGGACTTGTAGACGATCCACTTGGAACGAATGCCATTTGTACATGTACTCCCATCTTTGTCGACATTATTATCCCATGATTGTCTTAGGTAGATTCATGCAGTTATGATTTTCTTCAGCGGTGACAAGCTGAAAGCCTCACTCGTTGCTAAAGCTTTTTTGAATCACATGTCACTTCCATAGCATTGTAGGAAACAGAGAGGCATGAGGTTTGTAGACACGTATGGCGTGACGTTGAGAACTGTGAATAATTTTAGATGTGCTTCGACGAAATTAATCTCGCCACCTTTTAATTCTTGCAAAAAATGGGCTCCACACTGAAAAAAACAAAAGCCTCATACATTCTCCTGGACTGGAAAATCTGAAAGCATGACGATAAACTTTAAATTTCTCACTTACTGTCCATCAATCAAATGCCATCATCATTCTTGTCATACCAGTGGGAATAATTCTGGCTCCTGAATCCACCGCAAATAACGGTTAATGCCGCAAGTAAATTGCATACGTACCACCATTGTGGAAGTTGAAAACGAGGATTCTCAACTCGCGCAGGTAAATTAAAGTTGCCCAGATGCTCTTGAAAATGGGTTTGCCCCTCTACTGCAGACCAACGTTGTTGCACTCATACCAATATATTCACACTACCTGCATAATATAACAAGTACACCAAAATATGTTCCAGTAAAGTCAGAATGAAGGAAAGGTGAATAAAGCGTTGAACACAATTCGCACATGTTTCCCTTTTCATCATGCAGACAATTCTGTCCACTAAAGTGAGTAACTATCATCTACCTCTGACATTAGGTTTAAAAACGCCATACGTCCTGTCGACAGTACTCTTAGAAAAGCATTATTTTCTATGTCCACAACGCTCCCTATGACATTTCGAACATTGTAGTACTCGGAGAATTCCTCCACATCAGCAGAATGGTATCATCATTTACAATTTCTGTGAAGTTCTAAAACCTTCTTCATTCACTTATATAGATAACTTTTATAACTCGTATGAAAAATACAAGTCAAGTTCAACTACTGACGAACATATCTTTCTTAGATTTCAAATCCCACAGATGTTGCAAAAATCACTCTCTTTCATCGTATGAAAAGACCAACCAAACCAAATTGACTCTCTCCTTCATCTTCATAACTCAATCAGCCATGGAAGTAATATGTGTTCTTACTTAATTTTTTCTGCAGTGGAAGCTCAAGAATAATCTGACATCATCTCACCTAAAAATGTATTTAGTAGCACTATCTATAGATCTATCTATAGTAGCAACTATTACCACTCTTTTCTTAACGAGAAATGCAGGTTATGTATAATATCTATCAAACTAGCTCTTATGTGACTGATTTGCTGTAAACATTATTCTAACATGTATATATGGGAACAAAAAATCGGCTATAAAATTGATTCCTCGATAAATTATCCATAATTCTTTAACCAACATGCTCAAGCTTTCCGATTGATGGCTTGACGTTGGTAAAGACCAGTTGATACTTTATTGCTATACTTCTTCTGTTGACAAATCATGAAACGTTGTATTTAGATCATATTTTACCTTCTCGGTCTTGACCAAGAGTATACACTCTAGATGCCTTACATGATTTCTCCAATATCACATAATTAGGTCTTGTTAAATGATGTCTCTTCACTAAAAATAAGAGAGGTTTGCTTGATGTGACCCCTATGGAAAGTAATTTGCTTATGGACCACTCAGGTTTAGTTTTACCCGATGGGACCCCAACGACGGTGTGCCGTTGGACATAGTTCTTGTAACTACGAGTACTACTAGTTACAATGAGGGAATTACAATCAGAGATCAATCCCTGATTATAATTTCTGGTGTATTATCATGGGGACAAAGATCAATTTTGCTCGAAGTGTAATTTGTTGTGCTTCAATTCTTCCGATTGCAAAGATTCGTGGATTTCTGTGTTGACTCCCATCTGCACACTCCTTCCGTAACCCTGAGTGGTCCGAGCTCAAGTCTTGCGATCACCCATTTGTGGCGAACAAATAAACTCCGGATGAACATTTCTTTGCTCGTCTCCTTGGAGAGTGGTCGGATACAGATTGACAACATAAAAACAAGTGAGTGTGATGGAGTGCTCCACTCTGTCTGTGGGTGCGGTGAAATCGTTGCACTCTCTAGTTGTTATTAGAACATGAGTGACGGTGCATCGTTCATGGGGTCCAATAGGTTAAAATGAAATCTGAAGGGTACCATCAAGCAAATTTCTCCTAAAAATAATATTCACCTTGAGTTTATCCATAATTCTTTTCCTATACCATCCATCTTCACAACAGTTGTGATATATCCTTATGAAAGGCTTCTGCAACATAGAACTATCTTACAACCCTTCCGTAAATTTTCTTAGAACCTTCCAAAGATTTCTTACAACCTTATGACACTCTTGCTTTTCGTGCTATTTGAATTTCAAGAGCTCAAGCTCTCACCATTCTTTCATACTACTTCATTGATTTTGATGTTTCTATTTCAAAATATCTTGGATTTTCTCATTTTCAATGTCTCTTGCTTAGATTGAAGGCAGTTCTTGGATTTACCGTTGTAATTACATTTGGCTATGATCAAATCAAATTATATCAAAGCTAAAAAAACATTTCTTCAGAGATTATTTCACAATTCATCTCCAGCTTTTAATACTACTCTTTAATTGATAGAGACCACAAGATTAGATCGGCACTGGAATCAAACACATCAGTCAACCCCTCACGTCATTTGAGAAAAAAGAAAAAAACTCACTTCGAATGTATCATTGCTTCATTTCTAGGAAAGAGGAGCTAAATTTCAGCAAATCGATGACCCAAACACAGAAATAAGGTCACAAATAGACACTGCTCTCAAGTGACTACTCCTCGCCATTCGCAAATTCCTAGTAACAGACCGAAAAATTGACAAACGCATGCAATCCTTTTCCCTTTATTTCATTCAGGGGTGGAAAACAATAATTATATAGAAAGTACTCCTCACAACTCCAATTATCTGGTGTGAGTTGCGTTCACGCGAGGAGATAAGGCAGGCTCAATCTACAATGGATACACAGTAAGAATGTTGTGAAGTCCACACAGCTGGTCTTGCAACTAGCCGTCGTCGGGAGTCCTTCGGCTTCGGCTGTTCGCTCGATCACTTGGCGTCCCTGGACAAATAATTGTTTTCACTAATAGGGCGGGCGTTCGAGTACTGATCTACGGAACTCCCCCTCTCGAAGACGGCGGCAGCTCCCATTCCGGTTCCAATGCACATGGACACCACACCAAATCGGCAGTCCTTACCACGTTTCTTCATTTCATGCAGCAAAGTTGCGGTGGCCCGAGCGCCCGTGCAACCCAAAGGATGACCGATCGCGAGGGCTCCTCCATTGACGTTGATTTTCTCCATGTCCAAATCCAGAACCTTTGCGCAGTAGGTGAACTGCGACGCAAATGCTTCGTTGATTTCGAAGAGGTCGATGTCGCTCAACTCCAACCCCGCTTGCTTCACAGCGGCGGGAATTGCCACAGCGGGGCCGACTCCCATGATGGCCGGATCCACTCCGACAGCTGCAAAGCTTCGGAAAATTCCGAGGATGGGCAGGCCCCGCCTCATGGCCATGCCTCTCTTCATGAGCAGGGCTGCGGCAGCCCCGTCACTCACCTGGCTGGAGTTTCCGGCGGTAGTGGTGCCATCCTTCTTGAACACGGGCTTCAACTTGGCTAGGTCTGCTAGCGAGGTGGTGGGCCTAATCCCGTCGTCGACTGATATCACCACAGATGTCTCGTCACCTGTTTTGGGGTCCACGACCTTCGTGTGCACGGGAATAATTTCGTCCTTGAAACGTCCTTCGGCGGTCGCTGCGGCAGCTCGCTGGTGAGAAACCACCGCTGCTTGGTCTTGCTCCGCTCTGGTCACATTGAATCGAGCAGCAACATTTTCCGAAGTGACTCCCATCGGCAACAAACAGTCAGCTGCCTGCTGACAGGTTTCCAACTTAGGGTTGGGCGTTCCGTCGAAAGCCATGGCATCCTTGGTCATGGATTCCACTCCTGCACCAATTCCTATTTCGTAAAACCCAGCTTTGATCGAAGCAGCAACATCCGCGATTGCTTGCAGACCGGACGAACACTGTCGATTCACGGTCCTGAGGGCAACAGTGTCAGGGAACCCGGCCAGGAAGGAGGCAATCCTGCACTCCATGGCTCGTTGCGATCCAGGGGCGAGGACAGTCCCGACGACGATATCTCCCACCTCTGCAGGATTGACTCCAGACCGCTCGACAACGGCCTTCAGCACGGGCGCCAACAAATCATCGGCTGGCGTGTCCTTGAACCCTCCTCGCCTGGCCTTAGTGAGGGCCGTCCGGAAGGCCGCAACGATGACAATATCGTCATCGAACTCCTGGAACCTCTTGCTCTGCAACTCCTGCGCCATGCAGATAGACGGTGCAACTCGTCCGCCTTGCGCCCCTGGTCCCTCCGGCCTCAAGTGGTCGAGGATCACCTGCTGCCTTGCCCGCACATGCTCCATCTTAGCAAATCAGCCCCAATCCCGCTCTCGCGCTCGACCTAGAGTCTCTCTGGCCCTCCCTCGCGTCTTCCTCACAATGTACAGATTGGCTACTGCTCTCAAACCTCGACCCAATTCCCCACAAGCAAAACGAAAGAAGAAAGAACTGTACAATCCGAAATCGGCCGGAACCGCAGGCAGAATGAGATGCGAGGCAAGCAAGCAAGTGCGAACGGAACAATATGAAGCTACCTGGCCGATGCAGGGTGCAGGTGCAAGCTTAGCCCAGAAATCTCGAGGAATCGGGTAAGAAAAAAGAGGCTTGATTGTAGAAAAAGCAAGCGGCCGGATCGGACGCCGTAGTGGGAAAGCTTCAGCTCCGGGCAGCTCGCAGGTTTCGATCGCCCGAGCGCAAGTCCGGCCAGCCCCCAGTCAGTCCCACGTCCCGAACGGTGCCGGTGGCTCTCGGTGTCGCGCTCCGGTTCGGTTCGCTGCTCGCGGTTGGTGCGGTGCTGTCCCTCCGCCCGAGCCGATCCGCCTCCTCCTCGTCCTTGAAGACGCTCATTGTCCTCTCTCCCGCACACTGGACCTGGAGTCTGGCCGTCTCCTGCTCTTTCCCGGAACTAAGACCCTTCTCGCCCTCCCACATCATCATCATCATGCCCATCGCGCGCTCCACCTGCTCCTGTGGCCCAGCCATGCCATGCCATGCCATGCCATTGAGATGGGAGTGACCGGAAAGGAGTCGTTCCTCCGCCCACTCCATCGGACTCACTACCGCCACGTCAGCCTCTGGCCAGCGATCATTTCCAGTTGTCCGCTTTCCGGTCGCCGTCGTGTGATGTGGCACGTCAAGGGGCTCGCGGTTGCGGGACGACTGAACTCTTTCTGTGAACGCTCGTTCGATCGAAGACCCCCGAGCCGGCCGGCCAGCCACGGGGCGAGTGAAGCTAAAGAAGGCGTGACGGTGAGATGCCAGTCTCATGGTGTACTGAACGCGAGAGTTGGAAGGTGGTAGTGATAGCAAGAACACCATCCTCGTTTAGAAGATTGGAATCAGATTCCTATATGTCAATCCACAACTCTGATTGTTCATGTTTGTATACTTATACTCCAGTAAAGGGTTATGGGAACAAGCTACTACAACTGAAACCCTTTCACCTTTTATTTTATGCGATGTCTTCGAAGCATTGATGTAATGCTCACAAGTTACACGGAGAGTATCGTTCTTCATGGGATAGTTGCCATATAAAGAGTCGCTCTTCTAATCATGTTACCCGTGCATGTTAAAATCAGGTAACATCGTTTGCTATTTTAGGAGAATAATCTATTAACGTGCAAACATGTTTTTACGAGATAAAATACTTCTCAACTGAATTATAAGTGTCATCAGGGCACTTTTCTTAGCTCCTAATATTTCTCTTTAAGCGTAAAACATCAAGGGTCATTTTTTGAACGTCACAACTCATATGTTCCAACTTGCCAATACAAGAGCCCGAAGTATTGTTCAAGCCATCGACTGATGAACACGTGGGAAACATTTTGCGTGAACTCCTAAAATTCTGTGGAGGTGCAGTCTGACGCCAACATACACGGATAAGTGAAACTGTGGCTTATCAAGAAGTGGGGAACATTTTTCCTGAACTCCTACCATCCCGGGGAGGTGCAGTCTGACGCCAACATACATGGATAAGTGAAACTGTGGCTTATCAAGACGTGGCCGTGTGTGAGGTAGCTCAAGTCCAAAGCAACAATGGCGCTTATGCATTGGAGCGCACATTCACGACGTCTTTCCGTATAAAATCCTACAAATCAGGGTTCCGGAGCTTGGTGATGATCTCCCTGTCAAGAACAGTACTAGAAGCTCCCATTCTGGTGACAAAACTCATATGAACCAGTCAGATTCTCGAGAAGTATGTCTCAAGCTTTTGTTGATAGACATAGCTTAAAACAGGCTGTTTATTCTGAGAAGCCTGGTGGTCGAAGCCGATAACGATCTCCTTTCATAATCTCCTTCGCCTCTCGGTCTTGTTTCGCCTTGTTTCTTCGAAGAACCATATCTCTGAGCATTTCGAATTCAGTCAAGATACGCTTTCACTGTAGTATATGTTCAATTTAGACCCCGATAAATTTTGTAGCCATGGAAGATTGAAGCCAAATTTATCTTGCTTAAAGAGATCGATACAAATCTGAACATTTGAGTCCTGTGGTACGTGACCTTATCAAAAGTCAAAATTTTTCGCTAGATAATCAGAAACGATTTGAGTTCTATTTAACCAAGCGTTATCATATAATGGAAGTGTTTCACCTTGTTGTGCAATCTTTGCAAGATCAGTCTAGGTCGCTGTCATTCCAATGTTTTACACACGAGAATCATCATGCAAGTGTGACAGTCACACGAAATAATTGCATATTATATTCATGTTTCTCTATAGTTAGGATAGAAGTCGTGCATGTTATGTGTATCTGATTGTGTCTAGATATATAACATGTGATGAAATGTCAACATTATCAAATACTAATCAAGACACTTTGTTCTTATAGAGTATGAATTTGCATAAGAATAAATATTATAGATTACATCATCTATGTGTGGTCATCATAGAGTAGCATTTTATCAAGTGGACCGAGCTGATTGCATTGTCAATCTAAGTAGAGTTGTGTTGAGCTATCAAGACAAATTTTTTATATTCAAACATAATGTTGATGAATTAGAAATTAAAAAAAAAAAAAAAAAAAAAAAACCTAAGGAATTCAGTCAAGATGCTCTGAATGACTTCCAAGTTCTGACAATATTTTAGGCCTTTTTCAATGCTAGGGGTTTTCTTGGTTCATATGAGGCTCAGCCACAAATATTCTCAGTCCACACCATTCTACTATCTCTCTCTGCCTTCACACGGATCTTGACTGCCATACTTCGTCTTTCGATTCTTCTATTCTATTCCGAGGACTGCTTGGTTGATCATAAAGAGACGAATTGAGTGGCACCTCGATTCGGCCAATTCTGTTGGCATCAGAGGATTAACAGTAAGTATTTTTGAAAATGTTCTATACATATATATATTTCTCAAATTTACTTTTCTAACCAAAATTTTTTGGGGATCCGAAACAAATAGATTTTTGTATATATTAGATTACATGAACACATGTAAGAGAATGTTATACTTTGAAAATTCTATATTTAAACAGTTTTTGTATGAAATTTTACCATAAATAAATTAAATCTAAGCTAGATGGAACATTAGAAAATATATTACAGCCAAGTAGCGCACTTTAGACAAACGTTACAGGTACATTGTGAAGGATGAAAGAGGGAGGGATTGTGGAGGGATACTTTGGGTGGTCATTTGGTCCTCACAATGTATTGACACACCGGATGTACCAGCAAGATCTTGCTAAGCTAGCCGAAACAACCCACCTTGGAACAGCAAGAAATAGAAATCTAAAGTATTAATTGACTGATGACTTGGACTTCAAGAAAAGATTTAGTACTTTTAAGCCTTGTGCATATGATGGTTCATACTCTTTCATACCTGTTAACTCAGTCATGATAACATGCACATGAATGAGTAAGGGTAGGGTTTTTGGCTTCCTATTGTAGTACTTAGCGCGATGAGTTTACTTGCACAAAGTGGGGACTTAAAAAACTAAGATAGAATATGATCATGTCACAACACATAGCATAGCTTCTTCGATCGAGTATTGCACTATAGCCAAACGTTACATGGCCATTGTGAGTAGCATATCGGATTGAGGAGGATTAGGGATTATGAGGAGGATTAGGATGGTCATTTGGTCTGCACGACCCATTTACAGCTCGGATGTATCGACGAGATCCAACCTATTTTGATGAACTAACTAACACAACGCATCTTGCAATAATAGTAAGTAAAATCCAAGGAAATGATGGAGCTATGACTAGGACTTTATGAAAAGATTTAGTTCTTGTCACCAGTAAACATACAATGTATCATATTACTTTCATACCCGTAAACTGTAGCTCAGTCAATGTACATGCATATTGACGGGAAGGTTGGGGTTTTTGTCTTTTTGTTGTGGTACTTAGCGCATCGAGTCTACTTGCGCAAAATGGGGCCTTGAAGAGCAAAGAGAGAGTACAATATTGTCACAACATATAGCTGAGTCTCATTAACCAAGTGATGCATTTCAACGAAACTAAAAACCTGATAAATTGGACACTAGAAGTGATCAAGACCGACTCTCTCTACTAAAAAATCCATGAATCGGATATTGTAATTGATGAAAACCTTTTGAGCGGCTACAAGATATGTGCATATGATGCATGCTTGAACTTGTCCAAAGTTTCAGGCGTTTTGTGATACAACTCTTGAATTTTTCAAATCGCATCATTATATTCTTATTCTAGCATTTACAAACGTGCAAGAGGATTTATAAACTAAAAAATCACACATGCTTCATCCAAAAAACGCATTCTCTATCTCAACACACTTGATCTGCTTCAATTGTGTAGACAAAGATTACCAATTTGTGTATGATATCATACGTAGAGCAAATTTCCAATAGTCTCTCAAAAGTTTTGATTGTATACTCAGATTTTTAATTCCAAAAAAATTAAAGATAGTGCTCCGATCGAGTTCGAGTAAAAACTAAAAATTTGAATTATGATTGAATCAGATCGAATCATGGGCAAATTTGTGTAGAAGATTGTATCGAATACAAAACTCAAAAATTAATAAAGCAACCACCAATAAGACATTAGCTACAAACACAGTTGGTACATAGTCGTCTGCATCTGTTTTCACTCTGTCTCGCGAAACTCTGCTTCTACTCTTGTGTCTAGCACTCCTCCTTCTCCTCCTCATGCCTACTGCGCAACTCGCTCTCTTGCTTGCTTGTTAGCTAGGCTGCGCTCCGCTAAATATGCTGCTTGTCTTGCCTCATCAAAAAATTCTTGCATCGTCTCCTCGTCAAGAAAATACTCGCAGCTTCATTTTTTCAATTCTCCCTCATCGTTCCATCACTCAGCCGTCTCCTCACAATCATGAATCCCCGCATCTTGATTTGGATTCTATTCAAATTCGACACAATTTTTTGGATCGGATTCAGATTGAAGATCAAATTCGACCTAATCGAAGCTTTAATTAAAGACAACAAAAAAACACATACTTTATCTGAACTCACTTGATCTGCTCCAATCGCATAGACAAAGATTATCAATTTATGCTTGATATCATCTGCACAACAAATTTCCAAAAGTCTGTCTAAGTTTGGATTGTACCAAACTTTCGAGCGACTCTTGGAAATTTGCCAAAATCTTTTTGAAAAACTTTTGGAGCCATTGTGAGAAATTATCGAGTGATGTGGAGGATTTGTACTCATGGGAGTCATTAGATCTACACGAAGCTATTGTGAGGGATTATCGGATGATGTGGAAGGTTCGTACTCATGGTGTTCATTTGATTAGCACGATCTATTGACATTCTGGATGTATCAACAAGATTCAAACTATCTTGGTGAGCTAATTGACACAAGTAACCTTGTAA